GTTACGATTGGCTCTCATCAATAGCTATACAGCAACGGATGCAAATCCTACAGCAGACTCGTTAAACAATGGATAGACGCAGTACTAAGAAGTGCAACATGGGAAGGCGCGGCTGTCCAGTGCCTCATTGGGCAAGTGGAGGGCTATCTGATTTGGAAAATGCCGCGAAAAATCCTTAGGTAATTACACCCAAAAGGTCGTACACATGAGAAAATCAAAATTAGTAGATCACCAACGGAATCACTTAGAGCCTATGTTAGAAACACGACAAGCAAATTGGCTAGATAAGTATCAGCGCAGGTATAAAAAGACGCCGCCTCCAGGAGAACATGATAAGTACGCAAACACAGTGGTTAAGGCAGCATGTGAATTGAATCGACGCTACAGTTGGGCTAGAGGTGTATACGTTGAGAGGTTATTCCTACCTGATATGCAAGGCCTGAGTACGCTAGATGGCAATGTGGACAAGGTGACTACTCATCCGGTGCTGACAACTGGATAAATGGGTCCAGTAGGGCGTCAATCCTTGCTGTGGAGATGGAGTTTGCAGATTTCGTAACAATGTCACACAAGAGATGATCTTAAGATGGAACAGGTTAATACTACGCAGCTGCTGTCCTGTCTACGTGCGTTCGACACTCGTGTTCCACCTTAAACCAGACTAATGAAGAGGAATGGGATAGTACGCAACAAGAATGCAGCTCAAATGCAAACTAGCCCAACAACAACAACAACAACAACAACAACAACAACAACAACACATCAGCCATTTGAACTGATACTTCGCTGCCATACAACCATGATGACCTATGAAATAAGGAATAATAAGAGGGAGAGAAGGGGATTTGCCGAAAAACCTTGATGACCTAAGAAAACATTCAGGGTCAAGGCACCTACACCTTGTGTAGACAACATATCGTCACAAACAGCCGGCTATCGTGCAAAGACAAGGTAAAATAAGATAAGCTGTTCCAGCTGAAGTAACAAAGGGCAAGATGTGAGTTTGTGTGGATGGAACCGTGTCGCACAAGCCACCCGGAGTACGTAGATAAGTGTAGAAATCCAGTGGCTATGTGTAGCCACGGAGGCATGCGGATCTGCAAACCAAGGAAGGCTAACAGCTCCTTTGAAAAATATTCTAGGGGATCAAAACGGCCATACCGAGAAAGTGAGGATTCTGTTTTATCGAACACTAGAGAGTGGTGCTTGCTAAACTACAACAATAGTTTAACAATCTAACACAGGATAGATAATCGCTCAAGTGGTCGGAAAAGCAGAGAGGATATAAGCAAAACGTTGGGTAAGACGCCAAGACAACATATTAGCCAAGGGGTGAGAAAATACTCCAAATGGTGTGCCGCAATGGCAGTCAGGTGGTGGCAAAAAAAGAAATGAATTGATTACGAGATCGTGGTTGGAGGGGGAAGATAAGCGGGATGAGGGGGGGGGGATAAACTAACAACGCAGATGCTACTGAGATCGGCTGCTGTCCAAGTCAACAAGTGTACCAAGTCAAACATGATTTTCGTCCTTCGGACCCCACACACGGAGGCGGGGGTATTAACCGCGGCGAAATTCCAAATGGGGATCCTGCATCCCTCTTGTTTAAATCATCGCTTTGTCCCCCTCCTCTTCTTTTATCCAGACCTTAATCGCGCAAACAACGCACGTCACACAAGATGTGCGCTATACCGCGAAGGCAACAGTGGACGAACGCAGGATGCCACTTGAGGCCTGTCGATATGATGGTCAAGTTTCACAGCCGAACACGAGAGTCGAGCGGACGGCCGCAGCGTAAATTTTATGACAAGTGATGTCGCGCGTGTGCCGCAAGTGGCAAGGAATAACACCTTGAGCTTTCGCCACACGGTTCGTGGTCTCATCTGCTATTTCACAGGCGTTCATTTATAGATTTCTGAACGACCTCTAGCTAAACACCACCAAGAAGAGTTTGCTTCTCTTGCAGTTTCGCAAAAACATAGTGTAATTCATCCACAAGAACTGATCCCCCGAAGTTGTAGATGGAGAGAAGTAATCTAGCTGCTTCTGTGGACAAATCTCACGCTCGGATTCTGCGCATGTGGGTAGATCCAAGGAGAATGACGATCACTGGCCGATAAGGGGTGGTGATTCTGACTGACTAAACGGTTTATCACAGTGTTGGGCCCAAAGTTCCAGGAGTTTTGAGAACATGTGGATAGCTTGTCCAATTTCGTCGCAGCACAAAGCGTCGATAACACCAGGTTTACTGTTCCTTTACCGTATCAGACTGCATAGCTTCCGATGGTTACTAAAGCCAGAGGTTGTTTCCATCTCCGATGTATGGTGAGACCATCAGGTTTCACGGTCTCTTCAGGCTAGCATGCAATTTTACCCACATTTCTTTGTGGGTCTAGTCGTGTTTACTTCCAACCGAAATACGTTAGCGAGCATTGAGAAGTTTCAGAGACGGTGTAGAAATCCAATGTTTAGGTTGGCAATCAGAGTTACCACATGAAGACATGCCTGCTGCTAATAACGTCTGGCGGATATGAGATCGGTGACTCCACGGTGTCCAGTGAGGCGCTTACTCAGCTCGGATGCCAGTGTACTATAAAAGTATTTACACCATACGGCTTCGCTAGTTGACAAGTAGCAGCTATGCACTCGCAGCGTCGTTGTAGACGTCCGCCAAATTGAACCCGTAGGTCGACACATACAAATACGTAGTCGGAGTCACCCATCGTGCTCCAAATGGAGCGGCAGTTTTGGACACATCTTTCCCAGCAGAATCTGATCACGATGTGCTTGATTTGTGTCCGTCGCTGATGGGTGCCAAATCACATTTCTGTGTGTGCTGTGTCGGAAGTTAGTGTTCGCGAACATCCTCACACAGGTGAAGCAACAGCATGCCATTATCATTACGGGATCCTGCACTGTGTTTCCACACAAATGCAGTTTATCTGGGCGTGCAGTAGTATTATAGTATTACAGTATATACTGCTGCGACGAATGCACTCGTTCAACTGATCTCGCGTGAACTCCAAACCTTGAACAAGCCAGCTAGTCGGATGGCACACATCCGGTTAATGGTAGGAATCCAGTCGACCAAGACAGGTTTGGCGCGTGGGCTCAGAGCAATGCCCCGTCGGCTTGACCGACCCTTGAAACTGTATCATCCCCGGATAGATTTAATAAGTAAGTACCGCCAGTGTCACATGGAGATCGTAGAACAACAGACCTCAAATCTTGCATGCAGGTATCTGATAAGCAAGAGATATTGATCGATACGGTCTCTAGTGTTCAAGTAAGTGTACTTACTGGCCAACCTATTACAAAATGCGCCGTTGTGGCACGTGAGTTCTAGCGAGAATCGAAGGTTCCAAGTAGAACTCGATGAACTGAGGTGATCCACATGGTTGGACACGGACTTGTGTACAGGATAGTAGTGACGTTCCGCGACTGTGTGTGAGTCGAAACGAGAAGACAAACGCCTATCGAAACAACGCGATAGCGCACTCGAGAATTGGAGGTTTAAAACAGGCGGAATAAAAGTGCAGTCGAAATGAGGTGATAAGGATGAAAAGGGGTAAGGAGAGTAAGATGAAAAGGCTTGAGCAGTAACGACCACGGCATCAAGAAATTGTGTGAAGAAGTTTTCATCATATTGCGCGGACAGGAAACTGTCAGGTTGCTCAGACCTAGTCTGGAGAATGATCAGCTTTCGTAGCAACGTAGCCTTTGGATCAAAAACCTGACCGCAAGGTAAAGGGTTTGGCAATGGGCTATAGAGTCCGTTTAGTGGAGTAAGGAGACGCCCTCGCTCCAACCCCAACGCGGACGGTCAGGAGACTGAGTTTGCTAGGCCTCTAATCACTGACCAATCAGATGGGAGCATCCAACTCAGTTCAATCAATCATCCAGGCCCACAAATTATGGCACCAGGATGAAGCCCATTTTCAATACGAAGCAAAGCGTACAGATGGAAATACTCCGGATCGACAGAACAGAGAAATAAGAGTCGCCGAAATTGGCGTTGAAGACAAGAAGCCAGAAAATTCGCACAATAAACGGAATCCAAGTGGGTAGAGAAGAGACAACAGTTCCATAACGCTAAGGGTGAAGAATACAAGCATCAGAGGCTGGAATCATAAGAATTAAACCCATACTCTCCTTATATGGGATTTGGCGACTGGACCAAAGACAGAGATGGTGTGGAGTTGGGCTGACCAGGAAGCGGTGTATGAAAGATATGGGATAAGTTCAAAAAACATCGTCACAGTGACGCCCAATCATTTAATGCACATCCGGAAGAACACCAAACGATCGTTTCACCCATTCGGGACGCGGCCGCAATGCGAATTCTGTCAGTCAAGTGAGGGTTAGAGTCCGCAACCCTGGTCTTACCAGTCCGTACCCAAAGCTACTAGACTACGGAATGTGGGAAGGCAGTCGCAATGACCATGTGACTAGCTGTTGTATAACCCGATTCATTTTCCGGCAAGATGCAAGTTTTCACGATGGAAAAAACAGGGTTGGGCTCCAGAGACATGTCTCTACTGAGCAGTCGGTGTCTGATGAGATTGTAAACAAGTGTGAACAGATTGAATGCGTGCTGATGAGACATCCCGAAACGGCAAAACGGCAGTACAGAGGGTATGATGTGCAGAAGGGAGAGAATGTGATGTACGCATTGTTATGGTTGCACCGAATAGAAAGGGATGGAAAACTCACTTGGCGCGACCGAATAACTAGCGAAACGAAGACGGTGATAGCGACCAGTGTGGCATCCGTACTAATCAAGCTAAATGAAGTCCGGGAGGTCAAGCATGGTATGCTGAATTCCAACGGATGTTTAAATAAGCACGACTTCAGTAAGTGATGACAAACACAGTGCAGAGTAGTGCCAGGTGCGACATCTCAGAAATGCTTGATATAAGACAAAAATCAGAGGGGATCGTGAAATGGAGTAACAATATTGGAGAAATGACCTAGGCAGTCAAGGTTCAACGGCAACCTACCATGCGTTCGGCAGCCAATTGCCACTTCAGTTCCACCAGCTTGATAATGTCTGAGAGTTGCCGATTGATATCCACTCGGAGGCGCAAACGGGGGTTTTGTTCGGCTTCCAGAACCCGCCACAGGTCAGCTTGTGACGAAGGAACCAACTCAATCCAAACATCCTCTGGTAACAAAAACTCATGAGAAGGAGCTGCATTCCAAATGAACATGAGGGAAATGAGGATCGGAAATCGCAAAACATGCGTTCTAAGAGCACCGGGATTTGCATCTATAAAAGCGCATTAATAGAATTTATCCGAGGTGTACGGCGTAGTGAAAGAAGACCACAAGAGATCCAATTATTGTCGGTAACAACAAACGGGGAGCACTAATACGTCGTTGTTATGCAGTAAAAGCTACAACCCTAACAAGCAGTACACGTTAGCAAAAGGTGGGAAACACCACAACTATAGTGTCGCAATGCCATTCAAGCAGAAAGTATTGATGACGAGATCGTGGTTGGAGGAGAAGACTAAACGGGTTGGCGTGCGATAAAAAACGACACAAACGACAAGGAGGTTGGTTCATGGTCACGCCAATAAGTGTTGCCAACGAAACATGTTCATCATCATTCAGGTCCTAAACAAAAAGTTGGGAAGTTCCAACCGAAGCCAACTTCGAAGTGAGGGCTTTCATTCCATCTGACTAAGTCATCGGTTGGTCTGCCTTCCTATTTTTCCATAAGTAGTTCGGTCGCACAAACAACGCACACTCACCGCGATGAGGCTGAACCTTATCGTGATTCTACGTTTGAGTCTTGGGCTGCACTACCATGGGTGAAAGCGGAGACCCAATCTCAGGACAAGGAGGTCGTCAGTCACGCGTTCGAATATCCATCCCGCGGACTCCCATCTCAAGGCTTAAAACGGTCACAAGCAGCCAGCTAAGGCGACACCAGTGAGATAATGTCGCTGTGGTCTGTACTGCCCCACGTCATAATTAGCATTGACCAACAAATAGCTCAGTACAAAACGTATGTAAAGCAGGCAAACTGGCTATGAGGCAACAAAAACGCCACTGGTGACGGCTGAGGATCAGGACATGGAGGGGGGGTCTTGATCAAAAAAACGTAATGGGCCCAATGAACTGCAAACTCGAAGATGAAACAAACTAATCTACATGTAATCTAGTAATCAAGAAGCCCATTTCTCAAGAACACCATAGAATTACCGACCAGAGGCCTTTGTTTTCTGATTTGAAGAAGTGGCTGAAGCGTGACTTGAGTGGCTGTGTCGGTTTTCCGTATTATCAGCGGAAACACAACAATGGGTAGCTACATGGTGCTTGTTGTAGTAAACGCACACTCAAAATGGGTCAAAAATCTAGCAACCAGATAGATGACTGGGTCGGCCAACGCACGCATCTTAAAGAACATTTTCGCTACGCATAGTGAACCAGTAAAGTTGTCTCATATAATGAGACGAGTTCGAACAATTCGTGCACAAAAATGGAATCGAGAAAGTTCCCATCGTCTAATGGTCTGGACGAGAAAGAGGTTGCCACAATCAAATAGAGTGTGGCAAAATAAAAATCTCGTAATCCACAAACCTGCCTTGGTAAATTCCTACCGCATTACATCACACACTATCACGGATAATCCACTGAGTAAATTTCGGATGGGGCGACGTCTGTGCGCTAGGTTGAGTCTGATTAAACCAGACCTGTATAAAACGGTCGTTAAACGCTGGTCCTCGATGAAGCGACGAGGGTCGTGTGGTTGAGGCAGGACACAGAGTGTATCTATGACTGAAACCAACGGATAAAAGATGGATCCGAGGAGTTACGAAGTCAAGTATGGTCCGCTGGAATATGTGCGTTCCTGACTGTGGCGTAGCGTAATCCAACGCTTAGCACAACATTTATGTAACTAATGACTCTACATGTGCGCAGCAGCTTGTTAACTTGAGCAAATAAATATTTATTTATTTATAAAGCGATAGTATAGTAGGGGTAAAGCAGGAGGAAGACAGAAGCATGCGACGTTATTCACACTAAGCGCGATGACAGCCTGTGAGTCTAGAAGACGAATACTCAAAGTGCCCGTCGTCGCCTGCAATCAAAGAAGCATTAGCAAAAAGGAGACGCTTCGAGATTGCATTTATAGCCATGGTGGTCAGTTTGTGAGAAGCGGAGAGGAAAAAGTTAACCAAAAGGATACACAATCTAGCAGTGGAAGATTGTTGCGACTGGTTATCAGGACCCCCTGTCTGTCGGGAAATGCACGTGAACCGTGTGTGTGTGTGTGTGTGTAAGTAGATGGACCAAGAATTGGTCGTGCGCAGACAGTAAGTGCCCAGCTCATACCTACAACGCTGGGCCGAGTTGAAACCCCAAGCGCGAATGAGTACACCCATGTAAGGCGTATGATCAGAGACGCATTGGTGAGTAATAAAAGTTCTGAATGGCAAAACGCATAATAATAACTGCCCTAAAGATAAGTTGAAGTGGTGATGGTTTACTCGCTTTTAATTCAAACCGGCGCATAGCTAAATGGGGCGGGTGAAACATTTCGCAAGATCACCTGCATTGATGCAAGTCGCTTGGAGACAGTCTCACGGATGGCAGCATTACTTCACTTGAACATATAATCATATTTGTACTTATTATTACTGCCAGTTTCACAGTAATGAGAAAACATTTAACCAAGTAATCAACGCAAAAACTCGTTTTGGAACCGTCGTGAACAACCGGAACAATAATCTATGTCATGCGATCCCGCTGTACAAATTCAGTTCAGTTCAGTTAAATGATGACTGGCGCACCGAAGTGCGGTGGATCCAGTTGTCACGACTCACACTGCAAGAATAACAATAAATAATAACAGCAAGATGGTGGGACTACAGGCAAAGGTGACGTAGAGAAAATGGAACAAAGTAGGAATTGCGTTAAACTAAGCAGAATGGAACAAAAATTAACAACCAGATGAAAAAGCCGAATCCAGCAACGCCACTGACTTCGTGACTGCGCCATGTCTGATACGGTCTCCACCCATTGGTGTGAACCATTCCGTGGTCTCCGTCCACGAATACGGCATGCATAAGCCAGACCAAGTCTCTTAGTCAATTTCTTCAAGCTTCTATGCTATGTCATGGACTACCCACCTCGAGGTTTTGCCCCATTCGGAGCATCCCAGGCGTATAATGCACGCCGAGAAAGCCGATTAACGGACATATGGAAGACAACGCAAAAAACGAAGATATAGACAACACTCGAGAGAGACACCAGAAGGCTTCTTGCCAAAAACCAGCTGGCGGACCTCGGCATTGATCCCTCAGTGTTCCACCCAGACGTAAGCAATATTTCGCAACCACCGGTAAACAAATACGGCCAAGCGTTCGTCTCCATTGTGAATTGGCCATGTCTCCGATTCATACAGTAGCACTGGCCCTTTAGCAGCGTTATAGACCCTAGCTTTCACTGCCAAGCTGATATTCCACCGTTTCCGAAGGCGGTTGAGCATCTGGAAAGTCACACGCACCTTGACGATACACAAAGTAACCTGTTCCGTGATGTTACCACCAGAGGAGACACAGATACCAAGGTAAGTAAACCAATCCACCATACCCGGTGGCTGTTCGGAAACAACTAAAACCGGTGGTGTTTCGGCAACCACCTGTAACAGCACTTTGCAATTTAAAGGTGCAAAGTACATGTTGAACCGTGCGGCACCTGGTTCCGTATTTGTCTATCACAATGGCCTCCACAGAACAGCCACAGGACGCATGCGCCAACAGATGAACCAGGGGTGGCTTGCGCTGCACTACACACAGCTCCAAACAAACACCTCATATCCGGTGTAAACCCGAAGGAATAAGGCCGGAAGGCATGTGGATGGGAGTCACATTTTATCAATGGAGCCGGCCCACACTCCTTCACAAGCAAACACAACCACGCTGTATTTGGGGAATCAACCACTCACAAGGCGGTGGCTGGACCGTAATCCGCTCCACCCTAGGTGCATGGAACCACACTTTGATCCTAGCATGGCCACAAGAACCGTGCGCCCCGTCCCCTCCAGCAACGACCAACTGTCTCCTAGAGCCCGTATGGACGAGGTAGTGGGTAACAGACAAGTAGGCACCTTGTCAACATGCACATTAAGCGCAGCCACACCGGGGATGTCAAACAACACCCAATAACTTGAAATGTGAGTAACAATATATCTCAAGTAAAGCACACGGAAATGGTGACATAAATCTACGCTAAATAAGCATACGTAATAAAGTGGTTGTCAACAAATCCGCGATAAGTATAGTATAGTATATCCGAAAAAAAATATTTTACAAACGCCACAAACGCAAAAATTTTAGCAAATGTAAACACAATTAGCTTAAGCGACGTGTGCCAGTTAAGAGATTATTCAGGTAAACGTTAGGATAAGGTAAAAAACATGCATTGAGACACGATAGCAAACCCACCACCTAAAATACATAAACTCAGCAAACAAGCACACAGTCAGTAAATCGAATGCAGCGTACCTACCAACGTTGAGCCGGTTCTGTTTACGTTCTCAGCAGAACCCGTCGTCGTTTCGATGCTGGTCACGAATGGTTTCGCTTGTGGCCCACTAGACCTGCCTGACAGGCACGCGCGATCGCAAGTGCTACAACATCATACTCTCGACGTCAATGGATTACAGCCAATCGGCGGCTGTTGCATTCGCAACTGCCGCTTCTTCTCCGCATGCACGGGGGCTTTCTCTTGCACGTCGGCAACGCTGATCAACCGCATTCGATACCCAACATCTGAAATCAACATTCGAACGTGAAAGACCTACATTAATCATGTCCTGGAAATGAAGCTTCGATTTCCCACAAAGCGCTTCCCCTGACTCAGCTGACTATATAAAAGCTGCTTCGGTATCCGCGTTTAATCCATACGCCACACATGACCGAGTCACTTCAAGTGTCTCAGTAAAAGTATAGAGTCCACTGCATACATCCCACTTTGGAGCAATAGCTCAGTGCCAGCAACTCACCTGCGATGTGTGCAAACAATGCAGAGTCGTCAGCGAACAGCTGCTTTACAGATTAGGGTTCTCGCACCGAAACGACGGATGCTCAGCAACCCACCATCGATGCGGTGCTTTACACGATCAATGTAGGCACAAGCCGCATCAAACGCACATCATTGCATGAAAATAAATATTAAACAAGGCAGGAGCTAAGAC